GATCCTTTTTATCCCCGATTACTAAGAGAAGGATCAACTGTTCTGTCTAAACCCTTGGCTGACTTTTTCAACATATTACTTTCAAAATGTACCTTTCCCACCTCCTGGAAAATAGCCAATGTCACTGCTATATTTAAAAAGAATGACCCATCTAAGCCTTCGAACTACCGACCCAATTCTCTTTTAAGCTGTATAGGTAAACTAATGGAGAGGTGTATTCATAAATACTTGCACAACTATATTTTTACCAACAACCTCCTCACGTCTTATCAATCATGTTTCATCAAAGGTGACTCCACCATTAATCAAATTCATATACAACGATATTTGCAAGGCTCTTGACGTAGGCTTGGAGGTTCGCGCTGTGTTTTGCGATATCTCTAAAAGTATTCGACCGAGTATGTAAGGGACCTCTTACATAAGCTTACCTCTATTGGAATAAACGGCTCCCTTCTTAACTGGTTCACTTCCTATCTCTCTGATCGCAAACAACGCGTTGTATACGCTAATTGTTCTTCTAACTGGTCATCAATTAATGCCGTCGTACCCCAGGGCTCGATCCCCGGACCTCTGCTTTTCTTGATATATATAAATGATATCGTTGACGATGTAAATTCGAGCATACGACTTTTTGCAGACGACACGAGCCTTTATATCATTGTAGAGAATCCCATAGACGCAGCTAAGTATTTAAATGACGACCTTCAAAAAATTCATGAATGGGCAAAGGCTTGGCTGTATACTTTTTATCCGTCCAAAACAGAATCCATGATATGTTCAAGAAAAATAAAACAACTGAACTTTCCCCCCAATTCAAATGAATGGAATTCCAATCAAACGTGTACAAAATCACACACATCTTGGTGTTACCCTTTCTGAAAATGTTAAATGGGATATCCATATATCTATAACACTGCGAAAAGCTTGGCAGAGAGTAGGCATCATGAGATCACTGAAATTTCTCCTCAATCGTTCAAGAAAGAATGTATATGTCTTTTATCCGCCCTATCCTTGAGTACGCCGACGTTACATGGGATAACTCCTCAAACATGTTAAAAATGAAATTGAAGCAGTTCAAAACGAGGCAGCAAGAATAGTAACAGGTGCAACAAAATTATGCAATATAAGTAAATTCAAACCAACTTGCCAGGCTGGATCGTAAATGTTTACATATCAGACTGGTGCTTCATTAGTTTTACCCATGCCGGAAATTTCATCTGGTATGGGTTGGCCAGATGAGTAGCGTGCTATACTATATGAATCTTACACCGGCTGCCGGAATATCAGCTCGAGCGTGACTGTTTTCGGCGGTAACGAGGCTCTGCCGAGTTTCCGCTATATAGTTACCCGAGAGCTTGATATTCCTGTTTGCACCGACAGCCGGTATTTGATTCTTTTCATATCAACAGAAACCACGAAAACTGATATTTTCATTACGCACTTTTTTCTTAAAGTAGCGTATGGACTTACAAATTAATTCAAACGGTTAAGTGACGTCATCCTAACAACGCAATTCATTCATAAAATGCGCGAGGCAAGACGTCAATTAAAGCACGCAACTTGTCTTAGATTGGGGGTGTAAGACTATAAGAATCTTACACCGGCTGCCGGTACAGACGGGAATATCTAGCTCGAGGGTAACAGTTTATGGCGGAAACGAGGCTCTGCCGAGTTTCCGCTAAACAGTTAGCCGAGAGCTAGATATTCCCGTCTGTACCGACATCCAGTGTTTGATTCTTTTTCTTGCACATTAAATGTCAGTTATCTTCGGAATAGAAATTACGAAAACTGATATTTTTATTAAGAGTAGCGTATGAACTTACAAACTTCATTCATAACGGTGAAATGACGTCATCCTTAGAACGCAATTCATACATAAAGGGTGCGCGGCAATGACGTCATTTAAAACATGCGGCTTGTCTTACATGGGGGTGTAAGGCAGGGTTTTCTCCCACCGGTGTAAACGGTAAATAATTCTGTCTGATATGCAAGAATATATGAATCTTACACCGGCTGTCGGTACTGACCGGAATATCTAGCTCGATGGTGACTGTTTACGGCGGTAACGAGGCTCTGGCGAGTTTCCGCTAAACAGTTACAAGAGAGCTAGATATTCCCGTCTGCACCAACAGTCGGTATCTGATTCTTTTTCTTGATTATTATATTTTCATTCATAACGGTTAAGTGACGTCTTCTTAAGAACGCAATCCATTCATAAAATGCGTGCGGCAATGACGTCATTTAAAGCACGCGACTTGTCGTACATGCAGGGTGTAAGATGGGATTTTCTAGCACTGGTATAAACGGTAGATTATAAGAATCTTACACCGGCTGCCGGTACAGACCGGAATATCTAGCTCGAGCGTAACTGTTTACGGCGGTAACGAGGCTCTCCCGAGTTTCTGCTAAACAGTAACCCGAGAGCCGGCGTTTGTTTCTTTTTCTTGCATATTACATGTCAATTATTTTCGGAACAAAAATTTTGAAAAGTGATATTCTCATTATGCACTTTTTTCTTATAGTAGTGTATGAACTTCAACTTCAAATCATAACGGTAAAATGACTTCATCCAAAGAACGCAATTTATTCATAAAAGGCGCGCGGCATGACGTTATTTAAAGCACGCGATTTGTCTTACATGGGGTCGTAATATAGAGTTTTCTAGCACCGATGTAAACGGTAGAAAATCCTGTCTGATATGCAAGAAAATCCTGTCTGATATGCAAGAAAATGGCGTCATTTTAGAGCATTTTAATGCATTAAAATGGCGACATTTCGGCGAATTTGATAATTAAACTGCATAATTATAAGTAGGCTGGCGTCATTTAGCCGTTATGAATTCGTCCGTTATTATGAAAAAATTGTATTGAGATAAAGAATTTAGAATATAATAGAATATGGGAGAATATGCAAGAAAAAATGGGTCAAAGACAGAAAAGGCCGGGTTGCATTTGTACACCAAATATCATGAGGCTGTGATGTTACGAAAAAAATTTTCCATTGACCCATTAATGTCGAAAATTTAATTCAGTAGGTAAACAGGAAGTGGATTAGCTACACACCTTAAATCGAATCCCACAGTATGGGACCGTGTGTCAATGCTGTATGCCAAATATCAAGAGGCTGTGATTAGTAGTTTCTGAGAAAAATGTTAAGAAAATTTCCTACCATTGACCATTAATGTGAACAGGAAGTGGATGAGCTGCAGACTTGAAATCGAATCCCACAGTATGGGACCATGTGTCAATGCTGCATGCCAAATATCAAGAGGCTGTGATAAGTAGTTGCTGAGAAAACTGTTACGAAAATTTCCTACCATTGACCATTAATGTCGAAAAATCTAACTAATTTAACTAAGTGGATAAACAGGAAGTGGATGAGCGACAGACCTGAAATCAAATCCCACAGTATGGGACCATGTATCAATGCTGTATGCCAAATATCAAGAGGCTGTGATAAGTAGTTGCTGAGAAAACTGTTACGAAAATTTCCTACCATTGACCATAAATGTTGAAAAATCTAACTAATTTAACTAAGTGGATAAACAGGAAGTGGATGAGCGACAGACCTGAAATCAAATCCCACGGTATGGGACCATGTGTCAATGCTGTATGCCAAATATCAAGAGGCTGTGATAAGTAGTTGCTGAGAAAACTGTTACGAAAATTTCCTACCATTGACCATTAATGTCAAAAAATCTAACTAATTTAACTTAGTGGATAAACAGGAAGTGGATGAGCGACAGACCTGAAATCGAATCCCATGGTATGGGACCATGTGTCAATGCTGTATGCCAAATATCAAGAGGCTGTGATAAGTAGTTGCTGAGAAAACTGTTACGAAATTTCCTACCATTGACCATTAATGTCAAAAAATCTAACTAATTTAACTAAGTGGATAAACAGGAAGTGGATGAGCGACAGACCTGAAATCGAATCCCACAGTATGGGACCATGTATCAATGCTGTATGCTAAATATCAAGAGGCTGTGATAAGTAGTTGCTGAGAAAACTGTTACGAAAATTTCCTACCATTGATGTTAAAAAAAATAAAACTAATTTAACTAAGTGGATAAACAGGAAGTTGATGAGCGACAGACCTGAAATCAAGTCCCACGGTATGGGACCATGTGTCAATGCTGTATGCCAAATATCAAGAGGCTGTGATAAGTAGTTGCTGAGAAAACTGTTACGAAAATGTCCTACCATTGACCATTAATGTAAAAAAATCTTACTAATTTAACTAAGTGGATAAACAGGAAGTGGATGAGCGACAGACCTGAAATCCAATCCCACCGTATGGGACCATGTGTCAATGCTGTATGCCAAATATCAAGAGGCTGTGTTAAGTAGTTGCTGAGAAAACTGTTACGAAAATTTCCTACCATTGACCATTAATGTCGAAAAATCTAACTAATTTAACTAAGTGAATAAACAGGAAGTGGATGAGCGACAGACCTGAAATCGAATCCCACGGTATGGGACCATGTGTTAATGCTGTATACCAAATATCAAGAGGCTGTGATACGTAGTTGTTGAGAAAACTGTTACGAAATTTTTTTCCCCGAACGCCCGCCGCCCACCGCCCGCCGCCCGACATTCACCATACTATAACCCGGGTTTGCACCTGTGCAACCCGGCCAAAAATATATGCCATTTGTTTATTCAGAACGGAATATCCGTCCCTCTGAGATCCGCTCAATGCCTCGGTACGGGTATTCCGATCATGACAGATATTATTAGTCTTTACATCGATTCCAGCGGCTTTTATAATGTTTTGCATACTAGATTACGTCATTGCGCTGCATATGTTTTATTTATCAACTTATACGAATTAAGATAAAAACAGCAGACCAGTGTACACGTGATATCACCCAAATAACTCTCATAATAAATATGATATTAACAAATTACAAACTTGATATTTGTCGCTAAATATAGATTTCTAAGTTTCTACTATCAACTAAGTGGGTTATTTATTTAATTTACTTCCTAATAGTTTCGTGGACTGGGCATATGATATAACTTGCACTTTGCTTTGGTTTTTGATATTATAATAAATTTAAGCAATGTTATAATTTTTTTTTGTCAAAGCTTCAATGATTTCCGATTTTAAAAAAGTGTCTCCGCACACAGTTAAAACAATACTTTTAGTGCTGACAGCTTTGTTTTGTTTAATTGGATTACTAAATGTATTAGTTGTAAAATTTCTAATCGAGGAAGAGGCAGCCTTTAGAGAAGTCAGTCTTCTATCCGACTGTTCGGTACTTTGCGAGGATTTGTCGCTCAGTCCATACGAAGATTACGATACATTTAATGTAAGAAATAAACAATTTCAGACCTCTTTTCACAACGATAGATACGTTTGCAGTACCAAGAATTTTACCAAGATCATAAGTAAGGTAATTACATTGTATTATTATAATTTTTTTAATTTTCGAAACCGAAATAAAAAACGCTTCAAAGTTACTATATCGCAACATCTATAGACTTTTTTTCCATGACTGAATGTAAAAGAAAAATCACCAAAAAAAACCAATAGTTTTTCTTTATGCTTTTTTGTAAGGTTATTTTCTTGTTTTTCCTCCACTTATTATTTGTACACCTGTTTTACGTGTAAATCTTTTTCTTCGTTGATATTGCACCTTTGAAACCTAATATAGGGAATTTAATTTCTCATTCATATCACGGGACTTTATCGTCAAGAATTACCATTCTTTATCAAATTCTTCGAAAAACTAAGGAAGTAATCCATATATTTAATATAACGTTAAAGAGGGGTTATTTACGTGAATCCCTTCTTTAACGTTTTAAACTACATTGTACTAGATTATTGTAACCTTGTTAGTTTGACAAATCATATAAATTCTTCTACATTTAGCCAACTGTCGTTAAAGTCGTTGTATAAAAGAAATAGCATATACAATTCAGTCCAAATCTTATTTTATGAATTTACTTCCTTGTTAAATGTGTCAAACACAACGAATTAAAGGATAAATTCGATCGGTCGATCGTAAAATACGTCACCATGAAGTAATAAGTGTGATACAGAAAACTTAAATTTGATATAAAAACACCTAATGAAAAATACCTCTTGAACATTACAAATATCCTGGTTTAACGAAGACTGAATTAATCCATTACTTTTAAACAAGCATGAAAAAGGTTTGATTGGTTTTAGAATATATCAATTTCTGTATTTTATATTTTTATTTGTAGATTGTTGAACGAACAGGAAGGCTTAGATTGTCCAAAGGTACATATCTGACTTATTTCATAATTGTCTATTGATCAAAGTTGAATATGATGATAACATATACATGTTTATGTCTGTAACAAAGTTCAAAAGGTTTTAGAGGATCAAAGTCTGTATTATTATCATTAAAAGCGTCTACTTACATCGTACGGTCACAGAAGTTGAAATCGCTGTAAAAATAGCACAAACATAACAATAAGTTGTATTTATAAATTAAATGTTAACACATGTGTAATGTTATGGGATATTGATAATCCAGCATTATGTCGACGTAAGATTTACATAGAAAATAATTTCATTCTTTGTGTCCATTTATCAGTAAATTATTGTTTGCATCTTGTTTCTTTTATTATTTTCTTACGAAAGAGTCATTTAAAAAGAGTTATTTTAAATATCCGAACCTGTGTTTTATAAATGATGTAGAATTAATTTGTTAAGGCTGATTTTGTTTTTGCAGGTGAAGTGTCAAAGCCCTACTTGCAATGTGGGAACGAAAATCTCAGAGAAAATTCGAACAGTCAGGTTGCTTCCTTTCGAAGAATAGATCATCATCTCAAATTCAAAAGTAAACATTTTTAAATTAAGATAAATTGTAAGATTATAGATTCTTGCATACCAGACAGGATTATTTTCCGTTTCGACGATGCTATACACCCCCATGTAAGACAAGTCGCGTGCTATAATTAAGTGCCGTCATTGCCGCGCGCATTTTATGAATGACTAATGTTCTAAGGATGACGTCATTTTTCCGTTATGAGTTCATACGCTACTTTAAGAAGAAAGTGCGTAATGAAAATATCAGTTTTCGTAATTTCTGTTCCGAGATTAAATGACATTTAATATGCAAGAAAAAGAATCAAACACTGGCTGTCGGTACAGACGGGAATATCTAGCTCTCGGCTAACTGTTAAGCGGAAACTCGGCATGGCCTCGTTTCCGCCGTAAACAGTTACCCTCGAGCTAGATATTCCGGTCTGTACCGGCAGCCGGTGTAAGATTCTTATATCATAACATGGAATTTCAACTATTTGAAATGGTATTTATAACGTTCAGACTTGTATTATTTATAACTTATGCAAGAGATATATAACTTATAATTTTATAAGAATCCAAGATAGCATGGTGTCAATAAACTAAATGATCTTGCTATTTTATCTCTTTAATAGGTTTTGAAACTCGGTTGCATTTTGAAATACGTGTACAAATAAATAGATGAAATGTTTTTTTTGCATATTTTATTGATTTTATTATGTAAAATACATGTGTATTTCAAAGCAAACGAGAGAGATCAAGTAATATATTGGCAAAAGCATGCAGTCAGCACCTTCATATCAGAAGAGCTACATTACCAAAATGGCGAATTAAAAGTACCAGAAACACGTGTTTATTTTGTTTACACGTCGGTTTTAATAAACGGAAGTTGCGCAGACAATCGGCGCGGCGATGTTTGCAACTACTATGTACGGATTTGTGCCAGAGGCCGATGGAGCGAGCGAATTCTTCTTCAGAAAATGGGAGTTTACAATTCAACAGACGAGAGTTTCATAACTTCTCTACATATCGGTACTCATGTCTTACTCCAAAGACATGACGCTGTTTTTGTAAGAATATCTGACGCAAGCCGATTGATTCCGGAATCTGCCGGAAATGTATTTGGAATTATGCCAATGCGATAGCTGAACTTGAACTTTATCATTAACAAGTAATAAGACATAATCATCTAAAATACAGCATAAGATATTATTTCATTAAACATGTTACTCGAGAGAAATTAAATTCATTTACAAAAAGTTTCTTTTCTTAATAATAATGTAACGAGAATCATTTATATTACGACTGTTAACATGTAAATAAAAAAAATCTTTATAATGTTTGTGATACTTTACCTTAAAATAAGTATTTTTATCATTCGGAATGGTTCTATTTCTGTGTGTGTGTGCGTGTGTGTGTGTGCGTGCGTGCGTGCGTTGATGTGGGTGTGTGTTTGGCAAGTTAGACAAACATGATTGTGTCAAATTCATCTATTGATATCTAAATCTGTATAACAATAGAATATATCTAGTAAATCAAAGCACGTGTAATTGACTTCTTTAAAGACTTTACACTATCATTTCAACATATCATTGTGTTTGAATGTCGTTTTGGAAATAAACCATAATAAATCTTTGACACAAACTTTGAAGATAAAAAGCCGTTACATTTTGTTTTTGGGCAAATACATTGAGTGGTTTACAAGGAGATGCTATTTAAATATATTATTGATTACGACAAACGACGGACACCTTGTCATCACAAAGGTCACCTCTTAGCGATCTGTGATGAGGTGAGCTATAAACTAAACACTGAAAAGCAATAAAACAAACATGCTTAAACATCTCTTAGTATGAGAGTTGTGGTAACGTCTAAATACATACATGGCTTTTAGCCTTGGCATTTCCATAGTATTCTTAAGGTAAGGTATGAATACACTGGAATATTGAAGAATCGAGGTGTCTGGGCTATAAATATTTTTGATCTGAAAGGTAATTTTTAGCTTTAGAAACAAAAAGAGGCACAATGGGCAAGGTAAGGTGAATAGGAGGCTGGGGAGCACAGTCACATTTTCTGCTTAAGACAATCTTGTGTCATGACGGGTTGCCATGCAGCAATCTGACATAGACCAAACATGTTGCGGATCTTCATTTTTAAAGTATTTGAATAAGTGTCAGAAGAAATTTTGTCTTGTAAATTTCGCATGTACAGATTCGCCTTTAGAAACAGTGACTTGAATGGCGGGAACCTGAGTTGTAAAAAAAGAAACAGTGACTTGAATGGCGGGAACCTGAGTTGTGAAAAAAAGAAACAGTGACTTGAATGGCGGGAACCTAAGTTGTAAAAAAAAAAAGAAACAGTGACTTGAATGGCGGGAATCTGAGTTGTAAAAAAAGAAACAGTGACTTGAATGGCGGGAACCTAAGTTGTAAAAAAAAGAAACAGTGACTTGAATGGCGGGAATCTGAGTTGTAAAAAAAGAAACAGTGACTTGAATGGCGGGAATCTGAGTTGTAAAAAAAAGAAACAGTGACTTGAATGGCGTGAACTTGAGTTGTAAAAAAAGAAACAGTGACTTGAATGGCGGGAACCTGAGTTGTAAAAAAAAGAAACAGTGACTTGAATGGCGGGAACCTGAGTTGTGAAAAAGAAACAGTGACTTGAATGGCAGGAACCTGAGTTGAAAAAAAAGAAACAGTGACTTGAATGGCGGGAACCTGAGTTGTGAAAAAAAGAAACAGTGACTTGAATGGCGGGAACCTGAGTTGAAAGAAAGAAACAGTGACTTGAATGGCGGGAACCTGAGTTGAAAAAAAAGAAACAGTAACTTGAATGGCGGGAACCTGAGTTGAAAAAAAAAGAAACAGTGACTTGAATGGCGGGAACCTGAGTTGTGAAAAAAATGGCTTACATTATCTTTTTATAATGAAAGTTTTTTTTGCAATGCATTGCCAGAATGTGTAACTTAAATCTTGTTTTGATGTTTTTGTTTTTGCTCATAAAAATGAACCCATGTTTCGTCACCAGTGACAACATTTATAAGGGACCGTACATTGTAACTTGGAACTTTTCTTATTTATCTGCCAGCAAATGGGGAATCCATTAAGCATAGATTTTGTCATTTTCAAATCTCGTTTGAGAGTGGTATAAGCTGCTCCTTATCATATGCCAACAATACTAACAACTTGCCTTGCGATGTATCTTGCATCAGTAATAACAATATCTTTCAATTTACAACCATCTTGATAGACATTGCTGTGTCGACGGCCAAGTGGTGCATCTTCAGTCGAAATTAATTCACATTTTAAATGATTTAAACCAACGAATAACTTGAAATGAACATTTCATTTTGTCTGTATATAGAACAGATTTCATATAAAAATGTTGATAGACGTTGCTGTTTAGGCCGACGGGGATGAGATGCATCTTCAGCGAAATTATATATCAAGAAAAAAATGATCTATCAGAAACATTAAAATCAGCAAATTTACATGAACATTGCAGACTCGGTTTGATTAAGTCTGTAAATGAAGTATATACTGAAAAGGTGCAATATTCCTCAAGACACCTACTACCGACTTGAGCAGTTGTCAAGTTTTAACACTTGATGTGCTTGAATCAAGAAGTATCAGAAAAATATATCAATATTGAAGTGAAGCACAACTTCTCACGACTGTGACATGGTACCTGACACCTGCTTTTGTGATGTATAATTTTCTGGGAAAAGGTAATCCCTTACAAAAATCAAAATCAGCAAAATTACATTCAAATTGATTAAGTCTGTACATGAGGGATAATGAAAACGTTTAACAGTAAGGAAGCTGAGATGTCGGTGACATTCTTATTGTAGTAAGAATATATATAACAAGAATTTGTACCAGAGTTACCAACGTCCCCCGCCTCGGGAAGTTTCATATGAAGCATAAAAAAAAATTGTGCTATTTCAAAAAATTGAGGTATGGATCTCAAGACTTTCAGTCCAAAATTATGATTAATGCTAGATCTGCAAATGCAACAATAATTTTTTTAAAGAAATAAAATGAAACACGGAATTTAAAAATCTATCATGTTAAGCTTTGACCTCTAAGAGTGACCTTGACCTTGGAGGTAAGGGGTGCAGGTGTTGCGCATGACATATCATCTTATTATTGTAACTATTTGTGTCAAGTATTTTCAAAATCCCTTGAACTATGAAGAAGTTATAGATCAGACACAAAATATACCCTGTAACAGACTATGTTAATCTTTAACCTTTAAGTGTGACCTTGGAGGTAGGGACCTATGTTTTGCGCCTGACATATCGTCTTATTATTGTTATCATTTGAGCAAAGGCTTGAAATGGCTTCAACAAAGTAAACCACGAGGAAGAGATAATATGTTTTTTACAAATTACAAAGCGGCAAAACGCATATTCATAATGCGGGATAATGCGGGATAATGTCTACTTGGAGCTACCTACTCTTTATTGATGAACCTTTACAAAATCTTGAAACTTGCAAACATGGAATTATAAACGGTAATATTGCATATGGCAATCCAACGCTTTCCGATGATTTGACGGTGTTAAGTCCGTCGTTAACATCACTAGAGAATCAGCTTGCTATTGTTAAGACATACGCAAATACATGGGGATAGGAATTTAACTATAGCAAATGTTGTGTATTGAAGTTTGGCGGAAAAATGTCTGACAATATATTCAAGCAAACTTTGGTCATTCTGAAATATCATCACGTAATACCATAGTACATGTTGGAATTAAACTCAATAAGACATTAAGTGTAACAGATACAATCGATCAACGTATACATAAAGGACAATCGTCACTTTTTTCAATATTATCTCTTGAAAACAATGTTAGTGATATAAATCCACTGACCCTAGCATCATTTGTAAAAAAATACTCATTTTCACCTTTCTCTATTGGGATGAACTATGGCATAACATTTCAAATACTGACATTGTAAATATCCAACGATTTGAACGATTAGCAGCGAAACAAATACAACATCTCTCACAGTCAACTAGAACGGACATGGCTTTGAGCACAGTAGAATTGTTTACTATCGGAGCAGACATAGACCAGAGAAAGCTAACTTTCATACAAAAACTGTGCACTATACCAACACACTATCTGTCAAGAAAACTATTTAATTACAGACTTAACTTATTTGTTATGAAAGGTTATTGTAATCAACGCGGCTTTATTCCAGAAATATACAGACTATTGTACAAATACGGATTATTAAATTTCATTTCTGACTCGATGAAACATGCACATTTTCCATGCAAATACTCTCGGAAAAATACTATTAAAAAGGCAATTACACATACACAAAACAACATGTGGCAACAAAGAATTAACAGTGACAGAGATTTTGACAGATTTATATCAGTTCATCAATCAGTAACGCCTTTACATTTATGGCTGTTTTCTAATACAAACAGTGAGATTAAACATGCTATAAGTGCAAGGAAAATACTTCTTTATCGACAGTTTTCTACAAGTTATTCCTGTACAAAATATCTACAAGAAACTAGTGATATAAACAGACATATCTAAGCTGAATGTGATACATATACACGTGAACACATTCAATTGATCAGAAATTTAGCTCTGAAGTTTGCAGCTATTTTCTTAGAATTAACTCGGAAGCATTCTTGCGAGGACTCTTTGATTCCAATTTATTTGCTGTCTTTGGTATTAATCCAGAACTCCAAAAAGGCTTTACCAACCTATGTTGTAAATACGTTCACGACCTAACGATGGAATATAAAAAAGTAATATCTAGAACATTCTAATAACATTCTCCATGAGAGGATGTTTACTTCTAAGGTTAAATGCAATATAATAAATCCATACTAAATGTTCCTATACATGACACTTATATTTCGTGTTTTCGATAAGTTATAAATGTAATCGGGAAAATATTTAGTAAAAGTGCATTAAAAATATTCAGTAAATACCATTATGTCGAACATTGACAATATATCATGTGCTTATTAATAAGTTAAGATTGTGTATGCACGTTGTTATAATTCTGTATAAAATGTAACTCTATATTTAATGTATGACATTGTGTATGACGTATTTTTCGTGTATATAATCAGTAATCGTATGTTATTATATTCCGTTCTCATGTAAATGTGTTAATTAATTGTTATATCAGTCACTGAAAAGTGGAATAGAAGATTATATAAGTAGTATAATTTCTAAATTATATACTGCCCTTGACACTGATTTTCATATATTTAGATCTAATCATTATTATTATTACTCTCTCCTGTACTGTTAATTTTATGCATTGTTTTATTATGTAATAGATAGCTAACTATATTTTATAATGTTTACCGTATATAATCTCAAGATTTAAGTTGTCCTCTGAGATATTGCATGCTGTTCATCATTGTGACTTTGTATGTTCTATTTATATAATGACTTTGCAATAATATTAAACAACCGATATAGTGAAGTACTTAATGCCTGAAGCGTTTGGATAAAACTACGGAACCCTATTAGTGATATAACTTATTGAATGATTCTCATACACAGCGTAAGGACCAGTAGTAAATGAAGAATGCGACGGGCCTTTAAGCTGCTGCAGAAGACCTGGCAGATAAGAAGACATCTAATATACATGTATAGCAAACCAATTTTGGTT